GAAGTATGCGAAAGGATTGAAGATGATTGAAGTAAGTGTGTGTGTGTGTATATGTGTGTGTGTGTGTCAGTGTATTGAATCTTGAAGTGGCCTGAATCTTGCTTACTTGAACCTCTCATGTCCACACCTGGTTGCAAACCAGATAACATCCAGTTGCAAGCGGATTAGCATATATACAAAAAATATATTAAATTGTGAGGGCCAAAAAATGTGTTCGAAGTCCTCTCTGCAGTGGTTCCCAGATAGATAGTGGCATGGTGTCCAATACATGTTGGAAGGAGTTTTTCTGTTCTATTTGAAGGTCTGGGGACGCTCTTCGTTCGCCTTCAGGACCTTCCTCCGCAGTCAGCCGAACCCGCACCTTCAACGGAGCCCCCCTGTTGGAAAGCATGCCAGGATTCGTGCTTGTATAAATCAATCCCTGAGATTGTCGAAAACTGGCAAAAAAGAAGGCAATGATAGGCCTCTTGGCCTTTTGAAGGTATATAGCCATCCACTCACTAGTCACTATAGTCACTAGTCACCAAGGCACTAGACACGCGTCACTCCGGTGCTCCAACTCCCGAGCCGTCGAGTGGCTGAATAGCGCCCGGAGGCCGCGTCAAAGCCGCGCACCGTGCCAAGGCCTCAACGCTACGAACGGAGCAAGAAGCTACTAGTAGCTCCTGGCATTACTACTAGTAACGTAACACAGGGCATCGCTACGAACGGAGCAAGAAGCCCGGAATGTCCACAGGGTAAGACCCAAGATGGTCGAGAAGCATGAGTTTGCAGGACAGAACCTGTCACCACACCTGTGACAGGGCCCTTGACCTGTGCAGGACAAATGGTCTAGTGTATTTTGGGCCCTTGACAGAACCCGTGATCACACCTGGCACCACACCTGCAGGAGCTTTCCAGGCGCCCTTTTATGCGGGGGTGGCGGCTCGGTCTTTGCTTCAGCTGCGCACCGGCACGGGTTCCCCGGTCCAATGTCCAGCAAACGCCGATTACACCCACCACAGGGCCAATTAGCAGCCAAAGGATTAAACCAACCATTGGAATTGGCACCTGTCTTTTGCACGATCCTTTCTGGGTGCTGCTGTGGGTTCTGCATTGGAAGGCCCCATGTCACAGCCTTAGTCTCCTCAATTTCATCACCGCCTGGCGGCCAAGTGCAAACCTGGACTCTGATGTGGTTCCTTGCTCTTGTTCTTCAAGACGGCATGTTGAAAGCTGGTGGCCCAACAAGCACCTTCAGGCTGCCACCACAGGTCACAACAGCACCTTCAGGCTGCCACCTGGTGCCCTCGTGGGTCAGGCATTGCCGGTGGCGGCGAGCAAACGAGGCGTTTTCACTCGCGCGGTGGTCGACACAAAACACCAGGGCTCGGCGTTGGCGGGTCATCTGAAACCAATCCTTGTTGATCCTTGGAATGAAAGGGGGGGAAGAAGGGCTGTAGAAGGATAGGGTGCACGTGTTCACCAGAACCCCCGCAGGAGATCGAAACTCGTCCAAAGCGCAGCTTCCTCGGCTGAGGAGAGGGGCCTACGTTTCGACCCACTAGTCTGCATCAGACTGCAAGGCTGCAGTGCAGCACTGAGCTCCAAGATCTTCACTTCTTTTTCATGTTGTTAAGCACCTGGCGCAAACACTGGCACACACAAATCTGAAGACAAGAAACCTCGGTGCGTTTCATCCAGCCTTGAGGAGAAGGTCTGACATCTGCACATCCGGCTTTTTGGCCAACGACTGGACGTTTTCCTCCATCTTGTTCACCTCGAACAAACAACCGCCCACGTGGTTCGAGCTCCCGAAACCCGACGTTTCAGTCGGAGTGCGGCTGATTGGTACGTGTTTCTTCGGGATTTGTTCGAAAAGGAGTTCTCGGCTCACAGTTTGCTGTGATGTTTCCCGCAGTTTGGATGCCCGAAATCTCTCTATTGGTATATGTACAACGCTTTGGATATCACGCAACCACTGCCACCCGCTGCTCATTTCAGATGTTGGGGCACCCTCGTACCATGGAGCATTCGGTCAGAAAAGCTCGAGCTACTCTTACACCCACCGCTCGTCAAACACAGCCTTCCGCCACCCCTCGGGCCATTGGTGAATGTGGTCTTTCGTAGCTTGTGCATCCTCAAGCTACATCTTCATGATTTGGGATTCAGATGGCAAGTAGTCGCCTCAAGCTGCATGTTACCTCTTGATTCAAGATTTGGCAGGTTTTCGTTTATAGGGGTTGGATGGGTTTGGTTGGTTTGGCTAACATAGCTTTGGCTTCTTTTAGGATTTGGTCTGGCTTGGATGGCTTGGCTTTAGTTTGTTTAGGGTTTGGCTGGCTTGGCTTTGGCTTGTTTTGGGCTTGGCTTGGCTTGGCTGCCTTGGCTTTGGTTTGTTTAGGGCTTGGGTTTGGCGGTGTGGCTTGCAGGATTTGCCCTTCGAGCGGGGGAGGGTCCTCTGGCTCTTTTTGTGGTCCCACTATTGCTATTCTCCGTCGATTGGATTTGGTGTCCGGCGTTTGGTGACTCTGCTCATTTTCCGACCACCGCTTTGATGCCCCAACGGTCGGGTTGACGCTCATGGTTTTTCAATATGGAGAGTTCGAGGTGTATTATCATGTATACTATACCCCCATCGCTACTAGGAACAAAGGGTATCGCTATTAGGAGCAAGGACGCTACTAGGGGCTCCTGGCATCGCTACTAGGAGCAAGGACGCTACTAGGGGCTCCTGGCCGTACTACTAGGAGCAGGTAGCTACCAGGAACAAGGGTAGCTCATACTCAGAACCCTTCATCATCATTCAAGTTATGTTTCATGATGTTTCTCTGCCCTCCTGCGATTTACCACACTTCGCATCGTGCACCCAGTGGAAGTTGAGATTAAGCAGGGCGGGCCAGATTTTCCCTAACCAGTATATGCGATTGGAGTGATCCCAACCCGGGGGTGGCAAAGCGGCTCTGTTCACACACCTGGCTCTGTTCGAGAAGTTGGACTAAAACTCTTCGAAACACAAAGGCGCGAGGTTCCTCAGGCGCAAAGCCACCATTTTCGGGCGCGCAGAAGCCACGGTTTTCTGCGTTGATCCGTTATCTACCCAAGCTCCACAGAAAGCTCCTTATAGCCGAGATCATTTCGGAGTTTCAAGATCTCAGCGTAGATGTGAGGCTTGACTAGACTAGTCGCAAACACCTTCTGCTCTCCATCATTTCCTCCTCATCATTTGTGTGGTTGAACGCATTTACAGCATCGGGCCGCATCTCGGCACCGTGCTGAAAAGCACGCCCATTATCATCACCACGGTTGAGATCTTCATTAACTGCATCATCCAGGATCGCTTGTCTCTGCTTCTCTGTAATCTCGTCACGAAACATGAAGCGGACGATCTCCTGGCCCACAAGGCGGCCAAAGCTCCCAAATATCTTATGGAGGGCGGAATCCCCAAGCATTGCCCGAACCGAACCATTTGGATAGGTCAATGTGCCGCACAAGCATTGGAACATTCAATTGACACAAGGGGGGCTCAATTACAGTATGTTTTTCAGAGTCCGTTTGCCAGTGCTGTTCCCAACCAAGCGGTCATGCGTTCAACATCTGGCCACTGACTTTTGGAGATTCCACTCAGGATTCGCTCAATCTGTCTGAAAGGCAGAGTGGATAGGTGCACATCAAGGGCCGACAATCGGTCGCTCATAACCAAATGAACCGATGGTCGTGACAAAGACCTTTGCGGTCCCGGTTTGGAAGCTTGGACAATCGAAAGAATCGTTCTCCTACCCTTTGTTCCACAGTCCCAAGCTCCCACTCATGATGCGAGTTCTGTTCCAACTTCGCCCAGGAGCTTTGCTGCGGGTCGGCGCCACTTCTTGCGGGTCTTCCCGAAACCTCAGGAAGCACCCCACGCCACCCAATTTTGAGGTGCCCGATGCTGCGAGAAAAGACACCACAGGCACAAGAACACCCGTCGAGGAAACCGCCGAGGCACTCTTCTGCAATCAAATGCCTCCTTGGTGGCTCAGGTGCGGAGGTGTCTCGGGCGTCTTTCACGAAGCTCATGGCTCATGAACGGATGTTTCATGCCGATGCATGCGTCCTTGTCAGATGCTGGGAGGCTCATGTGAAACCTTGTGAGGCTTCGAGCCCCAAATCCCAACGAAATTGTCAAATGAGAGAGGAAAAGATTGAAGTTGTACGGAACGATGATGCTAATGTTCGATTGCAAGCGAATCAACTGGACTGCGGGCACTGTAGCTGGTCCTTTGTTCGGATTTGTTCGATGCCAAAATACTTGTAACTTTATCACTGTGACGCTACCATGCTACTGTTCATGATCTGAGGCTAGGTAGCCATAGATCATCCGAGGTTCTTATGGTTTCCATCCTCATTTCTGGACTTGCCAAAGGCTGATCGAAGTCGCTCTTCCTGATATTGTTTCGCCAGGCGCTTGTTTCCTTGGCCACGAAGCTCGCTCAAGCCACGTCTCTCTGATCAATTATGTGCTACCCCATTGGCAACCCAACACGAAAAAAAGCGGCTGCTGCAAACACGTCTCTACATCTCAGCCGTCTCAGCCAGTCATGACTTCCCGCGGCCGAGCATCTCGCTTGACGTTCAGCCACTGACAATGGCGCCTGCGAAACCATTCGTCCGGACATGCGTCCGGATGACCAAGGGGACGGGGTGGCTAGGCCCTAGGTTACATTCTGAAGTGAACTCTGCAACACTTGCAACGTCTTCATACTGCCTTGGCTTTGGCTTTCCTTCGCGCTTCTTTCTGACGGATCAGAGGCTTCGCCGCAGATCGCGCCTTAGCCGCTGCGAACGACGAGCTCTCTCGTTTTGAAAGCTCTTAATTCTCATCTCATCTTTCCATCTGCCACCATCCCCACCAACAGGGCTCCCCACATTTCCCCATGTCCCATGTCCTCAACATCACCTTTCTGAAGACACTCTCCGAGTGCAGATCTCCAGACCTCCTTGCCACCCCACCCAAGACCTTTCTCCCGACTCGATTCCAGGCACCACGGGCACTGGCTCGGGCAGGGCCGATGAGGAGCTTGCAGCCGCCTCGCTCCGATCCGGGCGCTTCTTCTTCCGCACGACTTTCACCTGGCGAGCGCGGCCGCGGCCGCGGCGGGTTCTGGGCGAAACCCGACGGTTCAACCGACGTTCAACTGGCTGGGCTGGCGGCTTGGCAGTGTCTTCAAAACCCCATTCACGTCAATGGGTGTCTGAGTTTGGGAAACCACCTTCAGAGTCACTGTCAGTGTCCCCAACCTGTGTTTCACCTGGATTTGGCTGCAACTCCTCTTGAACCAACCCTTCGAAAGGATGTGATGGTGTCACCAACTCAATCCACAGACTTGGAGGGACTTGCCAATCCTCCTAGTGATTTGCACGGCCACTTCCCAAAGACCACCGCAACATCGCCCCTGCCCCACCTTCATGTCGAGCTACATGCTGAGCGGCCCCGACTGTTGAGCCCGATGGGCACACTGAACTCACATCCCTAAAAGTTATACCCTGCGACTGCCACAAACCGCTAATCGTCTTTGCTCCGTGAAATAATCATGGAAGTGGATGGCATGGTCTCTTGAATGACCCTTTTCCTATACAAACAGGTGATTTTCCACTTTTTATGTCAAAGGGGGTGTACAACACCCTGCAACGTTTCGGTCTTTCCACGCTCCACGCTCCGCCATGATGCAGGTCCCTCCTATGCATTGGTCATTCTGCGTCAAAACGTATGGATCGAAACCAGACTGGTCAACATCCCTTTGGCCGAATGTCCCACCCCACCCCCACCACTCTTTGTCTGAAAAGCAGGTGGGTCTGTCGCAATGGTCCCCTAAAACGCAAGGTCTTGGCACAGTGGTTCTGCAAGAGTGTCTATCCGCAAGAGTTTGGTTTCAATATGAGCTGCATAGAATCTGTACCGCCGCCGGGTGGTTCTTGTTCACCGCGCCCCTTGGGCACACCACGTTCCTTCCCTCCGATGCTCTGGCCCTCCGGCCCCGCCCCGCTGCCAAGCGCGCCAAGCTCCCGGCAGCCATTGACGTCTGGGGCGGGAAACTCCACCACCTTGATCTTGCTGCCTAGGGGCCGCATGGCGCGCGCAAGACGCGGTCCGCATGCGGCCCTTGCGCGGGATGAAGCCGAAGGGCACGGAGGGGGTCTTGGGGAGCCGAAGGGCGAGGCACGCGGGCGATCGACTCAAACCTGGTTGGTGGGGGCGTGCCCTTCAAGATCTTCAAGGGGTTCAGAACAAGCACGTCTTCTCAAGCATGCTCAAGGCAACCCCAAGTTCATCAAACTTGTTCAACACTGAACTCCCAAAAAGCGGCTCCGCCCTGTCCAACCAAGCTCGAGGCCATTCGGAATGTTGCCACCAGGATCAGACCTGTCAGATCCGAAGACCGACATCCGAAGACAGCACCGATGCAGCCCGGTCCGGAACTTCCCAAATGAGAGACAACAAGGTGATCCACCAGTGGAAACCGTTTCTAATTCAACCATGCAGCAGGTATATTAATACTACGTGACTGTGACTGTGTATGCACATACATACATACATACATACATACAATGCCATGCCATGCCATGCCATACCATACCATTACATTATATTACATTACATTATATTACATTACATTACATTACATTACATTGCATACATACTTGAGGCGACGGAGGTGGACGAAAGGTAGAGGTTGGAAGGTTCTGAGCAGCAGCAGCAGCAGCAGCAAACCAGCAAAGCAGCAGCAGCGGTGACAGCGGCAGTGGCAGCAGTAGCAGCAGCGGCAGGAGCAGCAAAGCAGCAGCTGCAGCTGCAGCAAAGCAGAAAGCAGTAGCAGCAGCAGCAGCAAAGTACCAAAGCTCACACAAGTTTGGCCTCCACAACCCTTGGTTTTCGTTCAGTTTCGGGGGGGCTGTGCAGACGAAATTGAAAGAGGGTGGAGGCTTGCAGGGCCTAGACCAGGAGTCTAATCAATCACGCAAGGGCCTCTGTGAGAGCAGCTTCAGACCGCGATCGCCCATCCTAAACACATTGCCTTACGCTACATTAGGCTACAGAGCAAAAAGCAATACAGTATAACACATTACATCACATTACAATTGTCATACATATGCGTTTATATATATATATATATGCGCACATGGATTCCATGTGGCCAATACATGGATGTGGCGTGCTTTTTGCCACCCAAATCATACCACCGTAGACCCCAAACACTTGACCGCCGGACATCTGCAACTCCAACAAAACCACTGGAAGGCATTTCAATTGCGGATGCTGCAGCCCAAACTGGGAGACAAATGTTTTAAAAGCATATTAGAGGGTTTGCCAATAGGTGGCCACTGGAAAAAGTTGTCAAGTTTCCTACTGAGCACTACTTGCCAGAAGGCGGGCTGGCCAGACTGGAAAACAAATGTAAATCATTACGACAAACGAAATACCAGAAGGTGGAACAAGAATTGTAAAGAGTTGCACTAAAGAATTGCAAGAAAGCGGGCACACCAGGCTGGGAGACGAGTGTCAAAACATTGTTAACGAGGAGCTGCCCAAAAGGTGGACGGACAGGGTGAGAGATGTAAAGAACTGCAGCCAAAAGAGAAGGCGGACGCAGTTGCCCAAACTCCAAGACGGTTGTGAAGAATTGCCACTCAGGAGTTGCCAGAAGGCCGACACACTAGCCCAAACGCTGAAACAAAATATCAGAGTTGCCGTTGCCACTAAGGTCGCCAGCTGAGTAGCAATTCCGCGCATTTGTCCCCCAGTCTGGGCTGGTGCGTCCACCTTCTGGGCAACTTCTGAGTAGCAAGTCTTCACATATGTCTCTCAGCCTGGGCAACTGCTTTTCTTACAAACTTCTGGCAACTCCTTAGTGGCAGTTCTACACATTTGTCTCTCAATCTGGGCCAATGTGCCCGCGAATGGCCATTCTATTCCCTTCCAATGTATAGAATTGCGTCTTCCTTAGCAGTTGCCCGTCTTGGGCGGGCGGACACACGTCTTCGCCCAGACTGAGGCCAAGCAGTGAGAACCCCAACAGTGAACGTTCGTGAACTGTTAGGAGGGACAACGGCACGAACACCTTTCAGCTCCGCCGAGGATCTAGAGCGGAGACACGGCGGTGACGTGAAGAAAAAGGGTCCGAAGTGGCGGACGTAAACAGCATTTGCACGGCCAACGGTGGCCAAAACAATCTCCATAGCTTAATTGACTTTCAAGCTGCCAGTGGTCTGAGACCGCCAGCTAAGAACTTGATGCCAAGGTTACAGAAAAGGTATCTGTTGCGTTTGTTCTTCAATCATCCATCTACCATGAGGCAACCCCCATCTGATTTCGTCCTTACCCGCCAACTGCCTTCCCACACCTCCAAGCAAAGGACCCATCAACGGAGGGTCGTCTCCAAGGTAAGAGCAAGGACGCTATTAGGGGCTCCTGGCATCGCTACTAGGAGCAAGAAGCTACTAGGCGCTCCTGGCCATAATACTGGGAACAAGGACGCTACTAGGAACAAAGGGCATCGCTACTAGAGGACCTCTTTCAGCGCTTGGAGCCTCAAACAGCGCAACCCCTTCCACCGGCTTCCACCGCTGCGCCTCGGAATCGGCACCTCCGGCCTCGGTCGCCGTTTCAGACGCCGCCGCCGGCGGTGTTCGCCGAGGTTTGGGAGGAAGCCGGACGTGTTCGCCGGAAGGTGAGAGAGGTACCTGTTGAGAGGTTAAGTGACCGTAAATAGGACCCTACTGGGGTACCTATGGGATAGTCTAGTTCGGGTCATTCAACCTGTGTTGGTATCTGTTGAGACACCCGGAGTAGGTGATTTGGAAGTTGATTTGGTTCAAAGGTTCACCTCAAACAACATGTCGACGTGGGTGTCACAGGTGCAAAACATCATGTACATTGCATAGTGTGCCGGTGAGCTGGCCATGTTCTTAGCACAACCATGCATAATTCAAAACTGTCGAAGGTTCAACAGCAAAACACCAACACCAACTCACCATGATACCCCTGGCTTCCCGCAAAGAAAGAAGACACCTGTTCAACTTGGGATGTACGTCAATAGCAAGGGTAGCTGAAGATAGGAACCACTTACTATTTTGGGACTGCTGCTGGGCAAAAGAGTATAACCCAAAGATCGAAAAGCATCACCTGGTGGGTTCCACCACGTTGTGGGTGTGTAGGTCCAAAAAGTGCTACCCCACATCGGTCGCCCAAGGGGGTTAGAATCGACGTTCCCTTCTTCCAAGGGAGGTTCCTGGGGTCGGTCTCCCAAACCTAAACCCCCACGTCGGTCGCCCAAACCTTCCTCACTTGAGAACCTGCCTCAGAGCCCCCGGGCTTCATTCCTGGACTCTGGCGGCTGGTAGCATCGGACTGAGCCTGGCGAGGCTGGAGTGTCTTCTTCTCGGCCCAGCCACTTGAGGGGGGATGAGGATGGTGGGGGTTTTCAGGGTGCCTGAATTCACTGAAAACAGGAGGAAATGATAGAACGTCATAGAGCCGGAAGGCACTGCATCAAAAGACTACTCATGGGGATGGGAGGGCAAACGGACTGTTTTTTGTAGAGCCTGCATGGAAAGTTGAGAGCCGGAATGCTTCAAATCAATTGGAAGATGTCGTCTCAACCAAGTTTGTGGATCCGTCAGGAGGCCTTGAACCAGGGAATGCCACGTTCAGCTCTCAGATAGTTGTCTTTCCTCTCCCTGATTCCACTGAGGTCAAGTAGAGGGAGGCCAAAAGCGCCCACGATTCCTTTTAGTTGCATCTGGTTTGTTGGGTCAAAGCATGCCATGTCAAAACCTTCAGAATAGCACTTTTTTTTTTCACGCAAACAGTCCGCTCTTCTTCCGACTTCCGACTTACGTCCTTCCGGATCTGCTCTTTCAACAACTCCTCAGGACTCTTCGCCTCAACAAGCTAAGCTGAAGATCTGAAGGGGAACTTTGATGTGCATGGCGCCCATATATATGTCGGATAAGAAGTCAAAAGCTATATATATATATAATGTCGACTTCAGATTTATAAATATCCCTTGAATAAAGCTAAGCAAATCCCAGAACAGATTAATAAGTTCCCCCCAAATAAAGCTAAATGTTTTCACCCCTGGCCCTAGGTATCCCAAATCCAGCCTTTAAAAAAATGTCCTGTTCATTCCCCTTGATGAACTCTTCTTCAAGTAGCTGACATGGAAAAAGATCCAAATGAACCTAGGGTGATTTCTTTTAAAATCCCTT